TGAACGGCTGTGTGGTGTTTAGCTGCCTGCCGGGTTAAACCACAACACTCAAAGTAAAAGTCTTTTAACTATAAACCAAATTAAAACTTAAATAACACATTTTCAAGATCTTCTGCAATGCTAGTACATCCATAAAAATTACCACCATCTGCAGGTTTTATTGAACATAATTTAATATACGAAATAGGTGAATTTCTGGTGAATTCCATGAAAATAATTCCCTTTGACAAGGAAAGTTAACAGCATTATTTTTTGTAAGGAACAGTCTCTCTATCACTTTAGGAGTACTTCAGGTTAGAAATAGAAACAAAAGATTTGGGTGTAGCTAAAATACTGAGGTCTTGAAATTGGGAAACATCAGAAGAGATGACTATAGGTGAGGTAGATCAAAGTGGGGCTAACTCTAGCCAAATTCTGGATGAAGCCCATCCACACAGACTCGAAGAATGAAAAGCACAAACATCCATAAACATTACAATGCTGTTTTACTCTACTTTCAAAAATGCAACTGAACTGAAAAAAATTAAATTTTAGAAGTGAAAGTAATTTTTTTAATTAAACTATTGACACAGGGCTAATGACACTTTTTCCACTATCTGTGCTTAGCAAATCCAGGAGCCCAAGGGATATGGTCTGTTTCAAAAAAAACTTGGACTGAGGGCTGTTGGGCAATATTCTTTGACCTGGACAGGAAATACAATTAAATCAATTGTGTACAGCTTAAACACAATCAAATGATCATAATTTTATTTTATAGTGATAAACAGGTAAAATAGTCTTGCAAATGAAGACCAGTAACTACAACTCCAACACGCAATATATTTTTAAGTTCCACAAGTAACTAGGTGTACAGTGTGTACATTTTCATAACCATCCTCTTTTATATGGACATACTGAAACTGAATAGCACAGTTAAGCAAATTTCCAAATTACTGCGCAGAGTTTAAATAGCCAGTTGTTGGGTAGGCTATTCTGACAGGAACAAAGCGACCGGGTAACTCTGGGGGGAAAAGAAAAACCCAGCCTGAAGCAATGGCAGTAAAATCACATTTCCCTTTTGGCGTGGGGGGTAATCAAGCCTTACATTGTCAGATACATTTATAACCAGAGCCCTAATCAAGAGACTTTGCTATGCCACAGCAATGACCGAGACCTCATTTCTCAGCTGCACTCAGATGAAGGATTACGGTATGGTTTCCTGTTTATTTTTTTACAATTTAACCCAAAATATTGTCATCCTTGCCAGGTCTCCCTGAAAGATAGTCTGACAAGAAGGGCTGTCTGAATTCTCAATGCATGAAAAGAGAAGGCGCACGAAAACACCAAGTGAAAGAAGAAAAAAATGGCCCAGATGAAACCAAACTGGAGTTTTTTTGGTCTAAAATATGTCCATATTCTGTGAAAGAGCCTTGATTTTTGAATGCTGTGCAGAAAAACTGTGACTAACTCATCGTTACAGAATTTTTCGTAACATTTCTTACTGAGTAACATAAGGGGGTTTTAGATGGACTAAAAATCACTGCTTTTTAATTTGTTGTTCTTAAAAAAAAAAAACTTTATTGGAGGGTGGGATATCACCAAATTCTCATAATTACAACAATGACTACCAACAGATAGCTTTCCTGTAATGTCAGGTCACTGCTGTTGTGCACAGATAGCAAGTTTTAGGCACATGCACTATGTAAATTTCTATTTATATATGCCAAATACAATTTCCTACTCACCATCTTGCTGCTTCAACAGTCCTTGCTGGATATATCGAATATACGTAAAGAAGTTACACACAGAAGTGATCTGAACCCACATAAAAAATAATGGTGGTTAATATCATTTTGTATAACGGTATGGAAAAATAACTAACCAACCACTACTCAGAATGAAATCACAGTAAATCTACTTACCCTGTAACGACAGAAAGGAGAAATGTAGTAATAACTGCTTGAATCTCCTAATTTGATTCTATGCTTGCATGACTTACTTTGTCCACTGAGAGCACATTTCCTACAAAATATAAAGTTTGCATGATTTAATAAACAGATCTGACATTAATGTCTAAACACCTGCATGTGTTTAAGGCGTTAATGTAATTGCTTCATATTGGCACAGATACCCAAGTCTCTGCCTTCATTTCACAAGCTGCAATTATTACATTATGTTGTCAGTTATTTTAGTTCCACAAGGACTAATTTTGTTTCAATACCAGTGCATCGTGATGCATTTTGGATTTTTAAAACTTTCTTCAGCTCTGGTCATGTACTTCCATATTCACTAATTCAAGCTGGCTTGACAACTGTGGAACAGTGGAACTTCTTTAACTCTTCATATGTGAAATAAACATTGTTTAAATTATCAGTTGATGCCAACATTTAAACAGATTTTAAAAAAATTCTGCTTGATGTTGCATTTCATCATAAAAAAAAAATCAGCCCTACAGAATAGCAGTCAACCCTCTGAAGCCTCTCTCAGATGCGTTCTAAGGCCAGCTTTGCATTTACGCCCAAATTGAAATCATATTTTATTTTCGGAGTATAAAATAATTTGAGACAAAGGAAAATAGGCATTCTGGCAATAATTCTTTCCATTACCATTATAAAAAGTGATGGTAAAATAATCAAATTTACTACTTCTGGTGTATTGCAAGTATGTCATATTGAGGAACAAGGAAAGGTCAGTAGTCACCACAAATTCTTCCCAAAAAACAATTCAGGAAAAGGGAAAGAATTTTTTTAAGTTTCCTCCAATATTCTTTAGAAAAAGAAGGTTTGAATCTCTTGAAGGAACTACTATTAATACAATCTTAATAAGTGTAAATAAAACGGGAATTTGATTTATTTGAAATTTCTATATTGCAGCATCTCAGCTGAACTGGGTTGTCATGGCATCCACTGTTTCACTGATTTTAAAAGCTGCTGGCTCTTCTCCCTTCCATTTCTACCTCACAAAATTAGGGAGTCTAAGAACAAGCAGCCTTTCAAAAGTGAAACAAAAATTACTAAGCTTCTGTGGTTCTAAACAGTGGCTCAGAGGCCTTTTTAAATAGCCTGCAGCTGGTCCACAGAACCATCTGAGACAGGAGAAAAATTGAAGAGTGTATATGATTTTCCATAGCAATTTATGAGGACTGACAGCAGTTCATTGATCCAAGAAATCCTACAGTAGCTGAAGCAAGCTGATGGCAATTTCAGTCAAGCTTTTGTAAGAAGACAGACAGACTTCCAATGCTAGGAAAATAAAGCCCTTTTTTCCTTCTGGCTATAGAATTACTTTCTATATGTTATCTTCCATCACACCAGGTTAAATGCTGGCATGACAGTTACTACTACTGACTCAGTTCTGCACTGTATGGCACACATGCAGCTTTACACTTTGTTCCCCATGGGGACAATGATTCAAATCCCATGGGGAAACCCAGCTGTTTTCGTTAAGGCAGCCCTTACTACACACCATCACAGGCACTATTCAATAACTTCTGTATGTCAAGAACCTTTCTTCCCTATTGCCACAGCTCTCTGCCCTCCGCTCCTTATTTTGCTGCTGGGCTATTACCTGCTATTTTATGCATCTATTCCCCTATTCCCCAGGCAATTGTACAATAAAATAATTCCTTTAAAATCATTACTGATTTTCATTATTATTTATTTACAGTTTGTCTATATTTTGTTACCTATTTAAGAACATGGTTTCAATAAAAATAGTGCCTTGCACCATATAAAAATAATAAATATGAAACTGCTACTCTACTCCAATTCAGTGAAAACTGGAACACCTGTTTCCCATTCAGTGCCAGTAATCATATATAAGGCAAAACATGTTTGCTGTCAAGTTACACTTAAATACTCCATATTCCTTACCTATTACTTATCTACATGCAATACCACAAAAGTTTTTGGTCGCTACATGACAGCGGGAAAAGGGAGAAAGGAGTACACCTGGCCTTTTGATACATCTGAAGTAACTAAATTACGATTTATGCAGTCATCTCAAAACATTAATCTATACCTAGCCAACTATTTAAGGATTACATAAATTCTAATTAAACATTTATCTTACACTAGACAAAATAGGTTAAAGTCTCATGAAACTTCTGAATGATGCAATTGAGTCTCCTGTTTTTGAGTAAATATTTCATCACATTAAGACGTAGGAAAGTTGCTTGAACCACAATGATTTTAAATCAATTTGCCAATTGCTCTTTAATGACATGTGACTTGTTTCAGTAGCTTCTGGCTGTCCAGATTCTCTATTGCATTCATGGAACACAGCTCACAGTGGTGTATCTTGGACTTGAAATCACCACCCCTTGAGTAGCTCCCTTATTGGTGGTGGGCCCTTCTGATGAGGCGCTGTTACAGCTCAAAGAGCATGTCTTCTGGTGACAGGAGTGAGCTGAAGAATATATCAATGCCTGAATTTTGTAGGCTAGAAAGGATCAAATACTAAGTCATAAACCACAATTTTCACTTTATACAGCTTTTTTAAAGAGAAAGTAAAAAATTTTGAAATATGTTAAATGTATTTTCTCTTCCACTCAAAACCAGAGGAAAAAAAAAAGAACTAAAAACCAATAGCGATGAGAAAGAAAAAAAAAAACAAAACACTTAAGAGCCAGATGAAAAAGTTTTGATGCAAGTTTTCTATCAGATAATTGAGCTCTGTCAAAACAAGTATTACAGAGAGAATTGTCAACTTGTCCAAAAGATCTCCAACAGAAAAGTCAAGGCCTTCTCAGGATTTGGAAGGCTCCAGATTAACATTGACCTTGCTTGCTTAACCCTGACATACACTAAAGCACACTACAAATCCCTTCCTTCTCCTCCACATCCATCAAAGCCCCAGTGCCTCAGGCAAGTCCCTCCCACCTAACTATAATGTCTGTATCAGTACCTGACAACAAGTCTTGCTTCAGATTCCTCTAGGACCATTCCAAAATTTCTAGAATAACCTTCCTGTCATTCAAGTATACCTCCTGCTTTAGGTTCAAACTCACCTTCACCTTCATTCCTGCTTCATTACATTGCTCCTGCTCAAATTCAGACGATTTACTCTATATATCTCCTCTCAAATCCTTCAGCTACCTTTGTCAGTGTGCTATGTATGTCCTAAATTTCTTATGCCACAAGTACTCCAGATGTCTGATATTCAGCCTGTACTACTTCAATACTTATTTCTTTCATGATACTTTCCAGGTGATAGCCCCTAGTTCAAAAGCATCTGTTTTAAGTATTAGGATGGTCTTCTCCAAAGAAGTCAATGTTACTTTTGCAGTCAATGCACCATAAGTGAAGCAAACAGCTCTCCCAAAAAGGGAATTTGTCTTAAAGGTTTGTTCTATATTAGTCTTTTTTAAAGTTTAATTTATTAGTTGCTTACTTTCCCCATAAAATTTTCTAACAGCAATCTTGAAGTCTTAGATTTTAGGAAATAAAGTTTAAGATACACAAATTTGACTGAGGTGAGCAGTTGATAGGAGTTTTCTCAACCCAAAAGTTCTCTCAAATGAGTCAAGATTTCCCCTCTGTCTGTTAGCTTAACATACTTTGGTCCCCCACATTCAACTGCAGAAGCTTTCACAAATCGAACAGGTTGCAAGCCAACAGGTTCAATGCTCAGAGTGTTGTTTTCAACAGCTTCCAGAACAGCTGAGGCCAACTGCAAGAGAAATTTAGAAAGCAGTTAAAAACAGCTCTGCGTTATCCATTGCCTCAAAGCAGTGACATATTTCTTCTTCTGTGAAGTTAGGAACACCGAAAAAAATCAACTCACCAAACAAATTCAATTACATATGAGATTTTGCTTTCATTGTGAGCAAGAGGTCCCACTTCCAGGCTGCTGTTTAAATTCTGCCCTCCAAATAACCCTGCTCTCCCTGAGGCAAGATAACTACCTTTACAGCCAGGAATGTAGTCAAGCATGTTTAAAATGCTAACTGTATTTTCAGTCATTCCTCATAAGCCCAAGTAGCACATACATTTGTACATGCAGTGTTCTTGTCAGAGACTGGATACGGCACAAACTTTGTTCATTTAAAAAAATTGCTCTAATTTTATTGTGTTCTATGGAAACGCAAAATAATGCGGCATGTTTCCTTATCTTGCAAAAAACAAGTAAATATTATGTCACTGTTTTTCAGCCAAAAATAGCTTTAGAAAGGTGTTCAAACAAGTAAGACTGAACAATATATAGAAAAGCCAACATAATATATAGAAAAGCCAGTTGCAACTTTCAAACACTAGTCTAGTTAAAACATCAACTTCATGAAACAAAGTGCAACTTTGCTCAGGCTTTTTATGTTAATTCTTTATCAGCACACAATCATAAGACACTAGAAATATGCTCATTTTGCTTGATTGGACTCAACACTTGCCCAAGACTACTGTTTAAGTATGGACAAGTAATAGCCATTACTTGATTTTAAAAAAGGTGCAATTTATGTTATTAGTGAAATAATTCTGTACCAAGTTTCCTTCCAGAGTAATAATGATATTTTCCTATTGTACTTGGAATATTTTAAAGACAGAATGTTACTATTAAAGTAGTTCACATGAAATACTTTCTCTGCCATCTCCCAAAAGCAAAACACTACACATAAACAAGAAGCTATTGAGAGTTAATGTAATACTTCAACCATTCAGATAACTGCATTTCCAATTATTCTAAAACACAATACGTGTAGTTTGTTTGGTTTAACTGCATGTTAGTTTATCGATATTCAAGTGAAAACAGAAGTCGGTCACTATGCACAGCATCTGGAAACAACAACTGATTTAACTGACAAGTGCTAGAAGCCTCATTCTTTCCTTAAGAGGAAATACAAATCTACAGTAATTATATCACCACTGAAGCAGAAAAAAAACAAAATGAATTTGCTGGGAAAGACAGCGGGATGTCCTACTTACACATACTGCAGAAGCAATTTAATTCCCATAGTAACCAAGTAAACTTTTTAGTGGGAGAGGTTCATATGATGCTGTACACCAACCATAATGAACTGGTATACAATTAACTAAAAGATCGTGCATGCTTATGGCCAGCAAGTAACAGTAGATGAAAAGCACGGGAAAAGAACATAACACCACATGAAAACAACAGATAAACATTATGAAGTAAATACAGCATTTTCCATGTAAGGTGTTTAATTTTATTGGGGAACAAAAATATCAAGTCTGAGGGCTTTAAAATTTGTTATTCTTATTTCAATAAAGATCTAAGAATATGGTCCCTTCCCCCTAGAGACTGATACCACAACTACAGCCTGTAAATGCTGCTTAAGAACAAAAACTAAGTAAAGAGTTGGAGCTGGAATCAGTTCCACGTTATTCCCAGGATGGGTAAAACTCCAGTCTTTCCTCTGTATGGGAGAGCGTGAGGGCATAACACCAGGAGAAAAAAGTCTCATAATTCATTTCATCTAAAACCACATTCCCAAACTGCCCCTGTTGAATCGTATCAAATCCCAAAGTCTAATTCTGTAACTCAAACCTCTCTTCAAGAAAACGCCCAGACTGTGCTTGCAGCCTGCTCCGACTGATATGAGAGAAAACTAGTCCACAAAATTAAATACATTGGTCTCTACTGCCCCCTGCATAAACAAGAGACAGTGACAGGACACTATTTCTACAAAACAGTATCTTTGAAATATTAGGAAAAAACCCACCATCCATTCCTACAAACATCAGATTCTGCCAGATAGGAGTAACATCTGAAGGAGTAGACCTAAAAAGGCCATATCTGGAATAGCATAAATGAAATAGTGAAGAAAAAAACGATCATTTCAATACTCCAGACTAAACTTCAGCACTTCACTGTAAACTGTCACACTCTAATGAAACAAAAATGGTTAAACTTCATATGAAAACATTTTTAACACAGTCTATTGGCTTCACGTAACATATTTAAGGGAAAAGCATCAGTGACCACATTTAGACTATTTCCATTACCTCACTTTTTGAGAAGGTTAAACATGGAAAAATATCTTCCCGATAAATTTTATCCAAGAAAGGACACGTTCTGTCCATAGTAGGCTCATCCTTCCAAGATCTGAATTCATTGTACAAAGATAGGTCAGCCTAGAACACACAAAGATTCACATATTTTAGTACTGCAGTTATCACAGTAGCATCTATCATTTGCGAATATCCACAGGGAAATAACGAGCATTAAAACTAAATGCTTTCCATTGCACTGTGAAAGGACGCGATCATGCCCTAGCTATGAACACCTTCTTAAATCCACTTTCCTAAGACTGCAAATATAAGCAAATCAAAACATACCATTTTCAAGACACAGAGGTAATGCATTCACCGGTCACCACACCACCAGGGACAAGCTAATTACCTCTCCCCCATTTCCTAAGCTTCCAGGATAGCTTTGAAAAACTTAACTGATTGTTTAACAGAAAAAAGCCAAAAAATAATTTTCTTCTTGATGCATCTTCATTACAGTATTTTAGTCCATCTCCATTTCTGTGCGTTAAAGAAAAGCAGAGAAATCTAAAGAAAACAACTGCAATCCTGGACATCTTATATGTTCACCCTGCATCTGAATATAACACACTGCTATCCGAACGCTAAAAGAAAACAGACATTTAACAGACTAAGTATACTAACACAGGAAAACAGGAATTCAATATACAAATCAATTAAAACTATACTCTTATTCTTCATTTTTCATCTTCATGCCCAAACTCTCTCCTACACCATGCTACAACAGGAAAGCAAGGATATTCACTGGGCATGATTTATGAGCCTGCTCCCCCACAGCTCCTCCAGTCAATGGAGAAATACTAAAACAACCCATTAAATCGTGCTAGGAGTAAGCATGATCTGTGTTAGGAAGAGATGGTTTTATCTGCTTTGAAACCACCTTGTTTTGTCATCTCCATGTTGAGATCAGTTTAGCAGTGGGAAGGCACCTGTCCAGTCTGGCATTCAGGAGACTGGTACTAGGTCGCTATTAAAATCCATGTTCACATTATGGGACACCCTGTCCCATGGGCTGGCTACCCACTAACAGCTGGAGCGCGCTGAGGTACTCCCAGAGCGCATCTTCTGGTTTAGGGTTACTTGAGAAGGATCCTGTTCACAGGCACCAACACTACGCTGAGGTACTCCCAGAGCACATCTTCTGGTTTAAGAAGGATCCTGTTCACAGGCACCAACACTGCTCCAAGACATTAACCAAGCAGAGTGAGGATGAGTGCTTCTGACGCATACTCCTAATCCAACGCAAAAGACTAATGCCAGTCCCCAGTGAGATATGCAACACCATCCTGCTCCTCAGATGTCAAAAGACTAATGCCAGTCCCCAGTGGGATATGCAACACCATCCTGCTCCTCAGATGCAACACCATCCTCAGACTGGTTTTGACATTCTGCTGACACAGACTTCAGCATCTTTCCCCTCTGACTGGTTGTTAAATCCCTTTCTTGTACTATAGCAGACCTATACTCCTAAAACCCAAACCTAGCGCTATAGGAAAGAACGTACGCTGCAGGCCAAAGATAAGCCAGGATGTGATTTTAAAATTTTGTAATATTAAAAACAAATAATATAGATGAGATAATGAAAGTGGAAAACAGTGTATGCTAAAAATTAAAGTAATTAATTTTTAATCCTGTTAAAAAGATCAGTACACTGCTTTGAACCAACCTCTTTCAGTCTTGTTCTTTTCCCATGCATTACCCCTTCTCTGAGCTCCCAGCACTTCGCCATTCTTTTAAATATATATATATTTTGGGGAGTTCTTTTGTCATTTGGGGGGGGGGGAGGTTCTTGAAAAGGAACCTACAAAAATTAAGCTGGCAAATTTGTTTTCCATTAGAGCTACTTGCCTTACACTCAGGTACAACCAGGAACAACCATCTTAATTAAGCTAGTCCATAAATGTTCTGGTTGCTAAGCCACCAACCTCATCGTACAAATGAAATTCAATAGGTGTAACTTACTCCCTAAAGGTGCATTTCCCATACCTTAAAACCCATCTCAGGTCTGGCTTTAAAACGAATACAATCAAGAGACAGCAGCAGAAAAAAGGCCATTTTTGATTTGTACTATATGATTCTAAAAACTAAGATGCATTTCTTATTAACTCGGTTATTTTCTAGATTTAAGTCAATTTCACCCAAACCTGCAATTTATAAAGAAGCTGTCTTGAAAAAAGCTCAGTGAATATAGCTTGATGCTGTTCCTTCCCAATCTACACTGTGTGCTACATGTGTATTTCTTCCCTGCCTTTATTTGCGCTTTCACTAGATCAACGTTTTGATTACCTGCAATTAAATATACAGCCAATTGTAATAATAATTCTAGTTAAATTTTTAATGCTTTCATTTTACAGTAAAATACAACATCAGAGAAACATTTCAGCTCTTTCAACACGGATGCATTTATCAGCATTTACGCTGAGTGGATGCTACCTGCCTGCCTAAGATCCAGGCAGCTATTCAGCTTGCCTAAATCCTGTTAAATACCTAAATTAGACATGTCTATTATCCTAGAGGTTACTCCCACACGCTAGGAAGTATTTCTCTGGGATGTTGGCACCTTTCTGGCTCCACTGCAATTTAGGGTAGACAGCCAGCCACTCTAACTCTGTCTACACTCTACAAAGAAAGCTGGGAGTTGACATGTATTTACACCCAGCTCCATCCAACATCTCGAAATGCCCATCTCTGGGTGGTAGACTCTCCATAAGGGTCGAAAGCTATATTCCCCACACCACAAGGCCACTACGTATCCCTGAGCAAGGGTACTCTCAGCCCCCCTTTTGAAGCCCAGTCACTCAAAATCAGAAGAACGACATGCAAAGGGTAACCTAACTCAGTGGCAAGAACATTTAGCAAGAAGGGGGCAGAACTAGGGTTTCAGACCCAGCTCCCAGAAATGCAAACACATTTACCTTAGACCAACAATAAACAAAAGCAGTAAACAAAACCACAAAGCATTGGATAACGAAAGCAGTAGGGAAGGCAGATCCCCCCCTGCTTAAAACAATGTCCTAACCACCCTGGCAGATGCAGTCTTGCTTTCTTCACCCCATGTTGCACTCCATTAAATATTCCTGCTCAGAAGAGAGATAGAAAGACTCAAGTCCCAGCGGGCGGAAAATCCGTGTTATTTCTTACTGATTCCCTGGGCTGTCACTGGAAGAAACAGTCACCTGTTTTGAGCAGCCTCGATCAGCCTCCTTACGCAGCCAAGAGAAAGGAGACTGAACTAAAGAAAAATGTCAGGCAGATCGGACCTTCTGCAGCACATCCTTCACATTCACCACTTTCTCTCCACAAGAAATTGAGGCAAAACAGATTTCTCCCCTCTCCCGCTCTTGCCTGACACTTAAAAATTTCATTGAAGTCATGACTTCAGTGTGATGCTTACGAAGTCATTGGATTCCACCCCAGCTCTCCGCTTTTGTTTGCATCTTTCTGAAGAGCAACAAGGATTCAGTTTTAATAAGTAAAACATCCTGGATGCCACTGAAAGTGTGCAGGCAGGATGTAAAGCTTGTTTTTTTTTTAAAGCCCAAGTATGAAACAGAAACTGGAAAATGCCTTTATTTTCTAGATTTGTAGTAAAAAGGTGTATAGTATAAAGGCACTTAATGACTGGCGAAACAAAGTATAAAAATGGCCACCATGAATCACATTAAAGTTCCAGTTAGCCTGTTACCCCTCTGACAATGGCCAGCAGTCATAGAGCTGGCTGAAGAGCAGTACGAGAGGAAAGACAGTGACATATCTTCATTTTACAGCCTAGCAATCTGTAGTTAAAGCAGCTTCCTAAGCCAAATGTTATATCTATCTTCTATATACCTTGACAGGCTTTTCTTTTGTCACTTTGCATGACTACAGTTTGAACACATTTATATTTTTAATCTTGCTACCTCGTGACAATGAGTTGTAAAGTTTCATTGTATACTGACTGAAAATTATTCTCCTTTTAGCTTCCAGAGTTTTCTTATTACAAGAAATCATTAATATTTGTTCACCATTCATCTTCCCCATATCACCTGTGATTGTATAGATTTTTGTTCTACCTCGTGTGTGTCTCTACACAGAAATACTTCCATAGGTTTGACCATTTATGTCACACTTCCTCATATTTTCATTATGTACTTTCTGAGATGAAGATATCATAGCTGCGTGCATAGACATACACATTTACTACATGTTTATACAGCAGTATACTTTTTCTTTTGCTATTTATTCCTTTCCTAACAACTTCTAAGGCTCTGTGGGTCTTTGACCACCACTGAGCACTGAGATGGTGTTTTCAGAGAATTATCCACAAGTACACTACTTTTTTTTTCCCCAGAACAATGTAGCTATTTCTAAGTCCACAACTGCATGTCTGCTGGAGTTGGATTTTTTCCTAGATGCCTCATTTCTCATTTATTGATTTTGAATTTCATCTGCTGTTCTATGAACCACTCAGTATCATAAGATCCTTCTTAACTCTTCAGTCACTTTTTGCAACTACCATTCCAAGGACTCAAGCACCAACCTGTTGCCTCATTATTTCCCCATTTTCAGTTACATGAGTAGATAAAAAGAAAAAAAAAAGAAAAATCAATCACAGGCCCCTCTGGGACTCCACTGGTAATTCTCCTCTTGTTCTCTAATTAATCACTGGTTCTGTCTCTTTCCTGGCCTCTTTCATTCATTATTGATCAATAAAATGACTCTTCCTCTTTGCTATGACAGTTTATGAAACATTTATGAAAGTTTATGAACTTTTGGTGATGACTTTGTAAAAAGCCACCAGGACTTATCATTCAGTTACACTGTATTTTTCTTTTTTCTTTTTTTAATTCCCATCTTTAAATTATTGATTCCAATTTCAAATCTTTCCTCGTTTTCCCTTAATGATTTAAAGGTAAACAAGACTTGCAAAAATCACCACCTATTGTTATGTAAGAAAAAACTTCTTTCATTAATGAAAAATATCTCTAAAATAGTCAGTATTACATGAAGATTCAATATATACTAGATTTACTGTGAGTAAAAATAATAAAGCCACTTATCAGCAAAAAGAGGACAATCCTTGTACTGTTACCTCTTTACAGTCTTTTATAATTGGCTGCATCATGGTAAGGTCCTGATGACTGCCACCCATAGCACTGCTTGTACTCTTGTTTCTTGCATGGCCTTTCTTAAAAGGATTTTTTCCAGTAGACTGAAACTCCTTAGTTGGAGATGTCGGTGAAGTAGACAGTACTAGTGTTTTCAACGCTGCTACTTCAGCCTGAATATGTTAAATCATTTAACAAAATTTCCAGTTATGTTGGTTCAAATCAAGACTTCATCTTCCAACAGTACTAACATACAGATGCCTATGCAATTGCATACCGTAGTAACACTGGCTTCCTATGCACCTTGCTAGCTTTCTGATATGATGCTGAAACACCAGCTCTGTGCCCATAGGTGTTAGCTAAGAATATGTCAAGGCAACACAAGACAACTTAGTATATATTTTAATAACGCATACAGGTAATGCTGTATTTACATCTTTATGATTCACACTTTAGATTTACAACCACATGAAAAGACAAAGCAAGCAAGCCGGGAAAAACTCACCTTTCCCTGTGCTTCTTTTAACTGTTTTTCTGCTGCAGCTTGTTTGACATTAGCTTCTTTAACCATTTTGTGTGCTTCCTATAAAAAATGTTTAGCTAGTGTAAATGCTTCACACAAATTTATAAGATCCAGTAAAAAAAAAAAAACTAAGGACATATTTTTGCTTCACAGATACTACTTGTGAATAGTAAGTTGTGCAACAATCCAAAATTAAATAGTTACATACCAAAAAATACCTACAAATCTATCATTTGGATTCATCACCGGCCCACCAAGTTTCTTCTCCTTGGTCCTGAGCCCAAATTCAGAAATTCAGCAACTCCACCCACCTGCTCCAGCAGGAACAATACCTGTCACGGACGCCAGGCTCCAGTCACGCTTCGGTGGCTGACAAGTCAAGTTCCTTGACCCCCAAGAGAAAGACTCAACCAGTAGCAACAAAAGCAACATGAGCACAGTAGCACATTCAAAAGAACTTCTCCCTTCTTCTAGCCAGAACAACCAGTTATAGTCAACTGTAAATTCCTGCATGAAGGAACTGGTCAAACAATTATGAAGTCTAAATCCTTACCATCAATAAAACAGACAAAGCAACAGCTTAAAGTAGTTTATGGATTAATAAACATTTCTTAAGAACAGAAAAAGCACTAAAAACCAATCCAAGTAAAGAAACAAGGCTAAGCCAATAAAGAAGAAAGTGTAAAAGGACTGGGAATTTTTTAAACATCCTTTTACCTCATACCTCTAAGCCTTTTGTCTGCATAATGTATTTGTTTAGGCTCTGATCCAGCAATTTGCGCCTGTGATCAAATTACTGTTCTTACTTAGTACTTACTGAAGGCAACAAAGATTGAAAGATCAGGGCCACCGACTAAATTACTTGGAATAGGATCCTTCTCATATCTGTAAAGCGCCTAGCACGTATCTGGACGCTATATAAATAAAACAAAAAAGTTCATACATCATCATACCAAAAGATCTGGCTCCCACTGGCATACAACACGGCTGTATAATATGGGTTTGTAAAATTCTCTTAAGTAACAACAGACACATGCAGGAATGGGAACATACACATTTATACAATGTGTACAAATACATTTAACATTGACCATGCAGTTTCTGCTTAGTGATGCACCTTTGAAAGCAAAGCATGTTACAGTGCTATTACAGTGTAATAATGTAATATATACACCCAGCTGTGCAAAACAAGTCTCGATCCTCCGTTGGGATGCATTAATATAAGCTCCAGCATATCCACTTATATGGTCACTGAAATTAGTGGGATTCAGAATAGAACGTGAATTCAAGGGCTGTAGGTCCCAGTGCAAAAATCAAGAAACCTCAACACTGTGTGTTTTGTTAGGGCCTCTTAGTGAAATCAAATCACAAAATAAAATTCAAGTGACATGCCCACAACAGTTGGGAGTTCCAAGTCATTAAAACTCAAACAATTATTGCTAATACGCTGTATTTCAAACATAGCTTTAACAAATTGATAACATTGTTCTAAGTTATGAAGTGTCATTAATATAAAATTTCGCTGATAATTTTATTTTTATTCTTCTACAGTTAAAACACCTGCCCCACATTTTCCTTCCCCCCCCGCAACATACACAAGTATTTATGCTAAAAAGTACCCTTCCAGCCTCCCATTTATTCTCTACACACAGGAACTGCTTAATATTTTAAATAACTTTGCCCTACCAGGATGAGGAAATAAAATGGATTGCCAACCCACAGAGCGGTTTGTAATTTGATTTTTGAATGTCAGTATTTTCAAGGTTTTAATAGCACTTTCATATCAATACCACATCATAGGTTTAAATACTGTTTCTGAAACATACCTAATGGTTGTATCTTTATGCATATGCTGAAAACCAATACTTACGATTTGGTAAACATATAAATCATCCCCGGATTATGAAATTTATTCTGACAGTTATGGGTATCACAATTTAGCCTCTAGGCATTCCTATATATATTCCTATGATAAAATGATAACTGATCCTGCTTCAAGTATGGATTTAAGATTTTTTTTCTGTGTAATACAAGTGCACAATCCTTGCTGGCACTACTGCCTTTTTCTCAAATGAAAAGGTCCCACTTAAAGTTCAGGCTTCTCACTTGGTAACCAGGTTCCACCCTGGTGCATCACTCAGTATTAATGTTTCTTTTCAAGTTTGTGGGAGTAGCATGCTGCCAGACCCAAAATTCAAAAGCTGAAAGCATGGTTAAGTTATGTACTTGCTACCTCCATTTATCTGGAACTACGTTACTTTTTTATTTAGTCACCATGGCAACCCCAAATTTAGCTCTCTCTAGATAGCCTTGTTGTCAGACAGAGAAGCTGTCTCAAAATAGTTATGCCAAAAAATAAGCCTAAATAGTTTTAAGCTTTCTGATATATTTTCCTTATTTTCTTCATTTTGTGTCTAGGCAGATTGACAAGCTCAACAAGGTCTCTTTCATCTAAGTGAAAAGTCTACTGCTTGCTCTTAAGCCTCTACTTCAACACACCCAGGTCTTCAGAACACAAATCCCTTTATAAGCTTATAGCAGAAAAATTCAGCATACAATATACTGATTCTACATAAAACATCTGGCTCAGCTTCCTTTAAGTATATCACATCGAAGACTCCAACAAACCTCAAACAGACTAGCTGTAAGTTCTTCCAATTCCTGTCCAAGTTGATCTCGCACTTTAGAAAGCCTTTCACATTCTTCATCTTTTAACTTCAGCTCCTATGGAAAATTGAAAGTTATTTATTCTGACTTAGAGTAGTAATTTGGCCTTTTAAAGCTAATACCACAGAGGGGGGAAGAAAAAGAAAAAAAATAATCAGAGGAACATAAAACCTTTGCTAAACAAAGCCTTTCAAAATATTAATCTTAACACTAGAAGTAATTAAATTAATGCTGCACATACATATAGCTATTCTTCCTGCTATACAGCAATATACCAGGCCAATCTAAAGTACCTCTAACCTAGACATCAGCATTTCCAAAACTCTCTGAAGTAAAAAAAGGTTTTTTTCTTTAAAGTATAGAAGACTAAAGTCACTTAAAATATAGATCAAATTAATTATCGGGACAGACAGAATACCAGTTCTGTTTACCCATTTCTTAATAGACACTTAAAGAAAGTAATCCTTCTAAAAAAAATTTTCAAAAAAGCTTTGTCTCAAGACAATCCCCAATTCTAAAAGAATCTTAAAGCATATTTCACTATAAATAGTCTCCTGCGTATCTGCTTACAACTAATACAATTCCAAAATCACACTGTAATTATATCCTTGCTCTTGTTTATGCAGATATATAAATCAAAGCAACTTAATGAAATTCAAAATTTTGTCTACATCACTAAAATTTGAGTGGCCTGACTATACCACTTTTACAGTAAGGTTTTAACACAGATTTGGTAGTATAAGCGTTACACGTGCTCAATCTCATCTGTATTGTCCGAATTCTGAGGGAGAAGTGGGGTAATTTGCAGACAAGTACAAAGAGTTTGACAAGGAATTTGAAAGAAGAGTTCCTCTCCCCTTTCCCAACCATCGAACCCTGGAATCTCTTGCAAGAAAGAGAATGGAGAGAAAAAGTAAGGGAAAGAAAAGCAGCAGACAGCCTACTCTGACTGCATTTTTTTTCTGGCCATAACTCCCCTCCCATCCCCCATCGAGTTCTTCCTTCTCTTCTTTTCCCCCTGCCAAGCTAGCTATTACACCACCATCGCTCTTGAAATGCGGGACCCAAGCCTGTCTCTGACATGTTAAAGACTCCAAATACAATCTAGCAATGATTTGCTTTGAAAACCTCCAGAAACCAGTAAAGAAAACAGCTGCCTTCAGAAAACTCTGGGAGGCCAGTCACTACAGAGTCATAAAAAGGCCCAAATGGCAGCTTCCCTTGTGTTTCTGGGAGGCGGTTAGTTTTTCTCCCAAAGTCTTCATGATTGAGTAATGTTGTACACAATGATGTGGGAAACCACATCTTGCCTTGTAGCATGCTGATATTAGGTCTTGCTTTCCATTTCTGCAGTGAAACTGGCAATACATTTTCCTCTATGATGAAGGGTCCTGTTTGGCTTCAGCTCCTAAATTCCACAAGTGTTTAAGGACTGTTCTAGACTCATTTAGTATCAAAGGCATTATTTCTCCCTTCTTTTCTTTGGTTTTAACTTTGAATATTTTGATTGATTTTTAGTCTAGTTTGTTTGCTATTTTGATTTTTTGCTTTCCATATACAACCTTTTAACTATTTTGAAAGGTACCACTTAAATGATAGGTTTTTTCCAAAGATGGTATTTCTCAAATAGTACTCAACTCTTACTTACTAGCTGCTATTCTGCACACAGTGACCTATCTTTCAAACAAAACAAAACAAAAAAAGGCAGGAAAATAGCTACAGATGGATGGAAGAGAAGGAAAAAGGAATACAAAAAGTCAAAGAGAAAAAAAATACTGAAAAAAAGAAGAGGTTAAAGAAAAAGAGGAAACAAAAGTTAATACATTAATTTTGTGTTGATTTAAAATATTTCCCACATAAAGTATGGTTCTTAATAAGGAAATGAAAGATTCTGATGCAAAATGCTTAAAGCTACAGTTTCACGTGTTCCTATAAATGCAGAGAATACATCAACACATTTCCTTTGGTTTACTTCACTGATTTGTAAGGAAAATGCTACATACACATGAATACATCTTAAAAGGATGTTATATTAATAATCAGGTCAAGAGTTACCAAACTCACAACAAAGGTAGAACTACTCCAGGTTCACTTTTGGGCTACCACTATCAATACACTATTTTAAGTAAGATGCAGTTTTGCCTGCAACTGGAAAGATTAGGGGGGGGTTAGATTAAAATTTAGGCAGACAAGTTCAGCTACTTAATGACAACAAAAAGAAGACAACACCAGGCAGTCTACTATGCATGGCTGCTTAGCTAGATCTGTCAAACACTGGGCAAGTTTCCATGACATGATTCAGGAGGAGCATAATATAACATTATTTTGGCAAGCAAGTTTAACAGCTCGGGTTTTTTAAGCAGGGCAGAAATAAAGAGTGCCCAAAGCAAAAAGCTTAGCAGTTATTAGAAACATTACTACTGCCTGTGTCTTAAAGGCACTACTGGAGACTTCCCAGTCACACACAATATAGAGGCAGAAAAGACAACTGCGTGTGCTAGATTAACCATCCATGCTGCAGCCCTTCCCAAATTAGTGTTCTGAAAAAGTAACGACATGAAGAAGATGAGCTATTATAAAGCACAACACACAGAGTTACTTAAGTAGGTAATAAAAAAAATAAACTTGCATGGAAAAAAAACCTTAAAGTTAAAAAAAAATCCTGTATCAAAGAGTCATATTATTGCTTATTTCACTTTGATCTTCACAAACAGACTACAAGGTGGGTCTTTAGAAAGAACTGGTGAGATAAGGAATGCTAATTACTGCTTCAAAACCATTCATATTTTAAATTCTAGAAAGAAAATCATCCTGTATCTAGTTCAGCAATTTAACCAAGTCAGAACTAGATGCAGAAGATCAACAAAAGAATGAAGATTTTCTACAGATACCACCTAAAATCAGAACCATGGGATACTGCTGAATTCTGAAGTTGTCAAAAAAAATTTTTATTTATATTAGAATACATTCCTATTTGACTTGACTTCACTCAGCACCCAAGTTAAACAAGCTACATAAAAATTAGTCCATTGCAACCACATTTACAAGGGTGTTTAATGTGAAAGAAGGTCCAGAATATCTTTTCAGAGATAAGAGCATTTCACAAACTACTGAATTACCATCTTATGGTGTGGGTGAAGATGCTTCTGTTTTGCTCGCATGTAGTCTCCTACTTGCCTGAGAAAATTTCTATGCCTACGATACACTGCAACAGCATCAGTGAGAGGTGTGGAAACTGAAAACTTTCATCACTCAAAGACAGCAAGGAACTGCTAAACATCTTCAGAGAACCAACCCATCTTTAACAATCACAAGCCAGTGGCCTTACAGTTCAAGTGCAATTTTGGTTTAGAACAGCTTGAAAGCATACTCTTCAGAGGAGTTCTGGGATGGTATATTATTCTGGAGCATCCTCATTTTCATTGTTCATTACCTTATAAGCAAATGGCAACAGAAATTTAAAAATGCTCAATGTACTGTAGAGTACTACTGGAATTCCTGGAGAGTTATTATGAATTTATTTATTCATTAATCCATGTAGAGTTTTAAAATGTCATGTTTTACTGTGGAGAAATAAAGATATTTAACCACTAGTGTTAGCCTGTGCATAAACACTATAATAATGGCAATAGCCTCTGTTACATTGGATTCTTTGACGATACAGGCAGAACAACGGAAAAAAAAAAATCTACTTCAAATCCTGTATCGACACACAAGATCTGGACGAGATAAAATTGTAACACTCAGTTTGTTTCTGAGATGAAGAATGCATACAGAAATTGAAGCCTTTGAAAGAAAAACCTAGATCTGAGGATCAGGTTCTTAAACTACGTTGAAATTTACAATACCATATTCTATACTTTCACAAGAATCACTGTATCAGTGTGGAAAAAACTCTCAATTTCACTCTGCTAGGGAAATATCAGTAATTCAGATTTCTACTACAGAAAGTCGAACGTGGTTTTACTTGTTACCAACAAGCCTACAGATCTTACTCCAAAGACCGTGGGAAGCATGGAATTCATTCTCAAACCGAATACGGTATTTGCAACCAACATCTCTGGTAGACTGCTCTTTCCTCATCAGAGGAGGGGGCTAACCATCACTGACAGCTGATAATTTCAACACTCCAAGAGAAAACATAACACAGAAACCTAAGTTTCCCTCTGCAGTCATGGATGACATCATTATATTGACAGTCTGACTGATGAGGAAATAACTTCAGGGCCAAATCACACAAAAATTCGAGGAAAACATGACTATGAACTGCCACAGCTTAGAAACTACAAGCGAGCTGTCCAAAATACATGCAACATGCTGATTACATAAGATGAAAAGCAAACAAAAAGGTACTCCTTTGCAAGGACTCCACTGAACTTGCACATCAAGAAATACCATATATCAAAATATCAGCACTATTCTCTCAGATGTTATCTACATGTGGTTGATCTACCTTCAGTAACCACGGTGACACAGCTCAATCCAAATATGGCAGAAAAAAAGCAAATGCAGAGAGACATGAGGAGATAAGGTCCCAGGCACTGAATCACTAAGCCTTTTAACACCTCCTCAATTTTCCTGCTTCTGCTTTAAAAGGGTAGCAAAACAAGCGGAAAGGTTCAGATCATCTAAAGGAAGGGCTCTTCAGCTCCATTTCACAGAATATAACCAGAAATTAAGTCTTCAGTGAAAAAATAAGCAAAAATTACCTGAACTGTCTCCAAGAGTAAAAAATCTATGTCATTCTAATTAAGGGGTCATTTTAAGGCATAAGTATGTCAAATTTTATATGCTCCATTAGTATAGAATGCTGCCCTGCTGTTACCTCCTACCCAACCTTTCTCCCAATCTTATGACATGATTTGGTGCTGCAACCGATCTAGACTGAAGTAGAAAGCGTATTTCTTCTCGTCAAGAAACAAATTTTTGAAAGACTTTTTTTTTTCTTTAGCAATTTTCCCAGCAATGCTGTTCATTTTGACAAGTGAAGTCTGTAGACTTAGGAAATACAAAACATACACAAAAGAGAAAAAAAAAAAATCTTACTCTTTTCCTGAATAATTTCTTCAAGAACCATACTTAAATGTCTAACAATTACACGCCATACATATATTCTCTAATATAAAAAACTGAAAGCATATTAAGAAAAAATTTGCACTCCAAGCAGAGACATAAAAAAAAATGAGATAGTGGATCCCTAAGCTTCAAAATTCCTACTTCCTTTCTAGTTCCCTTTCTGATCACAGCTGCAACAAATTCGAACCATAGTCCTCATACAGTAACTGGAAGAAAGTACGGAAGGAATAGGGTTTATTGTTGTACAACCTGTAAAGACTCCTGCTATGACTCCTGTGTTACTGAGCAATTCTAGAACAGTGCAAGTTTAGGAAGACAAGCAGACAAAGTAAGTTATCCATCCAGTATAACACTGGTAAGAATCAACCTGATGGGTTGAGAATTAGCAAGAACTTTGACATCAACAGTCTCAAGTTAGTGCTGAACGGCTTTTGTTAAGAAGACCCAAAGGGTTTGAAAATACGTAACATGCAGTTAGTATGTCCTAGCAGCCCTAATGCCATTTCCTTAAAAACGACCTGAACAAATTTTGGAGTGAAATAGGAAACATTTCAATCTTTAAGAGACAAAGTGGTATACACTGGAATAAGATTTTCAGATAGTTCCAAGGTAACAGTAGCAGATCTGAGTTGTGGTTTTCAAGTATGTTACCTGTACTTTGGCATACTGTCAGGAGCTGGAAGAGCTTTTCTAAAGTTTAAACTTCAATTTGTTCTTACTTTCTAAGGTCCCAAGTTTAACTGCTAGGATTATATATTCACATGCAAGGTCCTCAAACTTAGCTCAGGTTAATGTTTCCTTTCAGTGGTCAAATGCTAAGCAAATGAACACATTAGCAAAGGAAGCAACTACTCGGCAATAAAACAATCAACAGAAGAAGTGATGTCAGAATCCATATTTAAGATTCACATTAACAAGGGCAAATGCAACTATGACAGAAACGATGACTACATTCAACAAGATGAGGCAACAAACAGGGGAAAACAAGTTCAAACACAAGATAAGATGAGCTTAAATCCAAACAAGAATGCAGTCATGTAGAGGAGAGGAAAGGGCACAGATACAAATAGCACAAAATCTACTTGAAAGTTTAAGCACAGAGGGATGTTAAAATGATAAATAATAGCTTTGCATTTATATAGCACCATCCATCCAAACAAGACAAAGCGCTTTACAAATATTAATGAATTGAGCCACAATGTCTTTAAAGGTATCCATATTCAATTTGAAGTGTGGTGTAACAGTACTCTGAAGAACACCAGCGACATCTTTATTGCTTCTTTCCTATGCAGGCATTCCCCTTTGAAACATCACAAGTACCCCTGTCCTAAAGCATTTCTGTATTCCATGATACATGCTACACTTTTATACTCTAGGAGAAAGAAGACTCAAGAGGTATATAATCAGCATCTATAAATACTTATATGGTAACAATGTGTGATGACAGAAAAATCACTCTTATTCTCAAATGTCAGAATGAAGGAATGGTCTACATTTCGAAGCAAAAGCGTGTTTAACCAGATATTGCAGCAAAAGCTTTCCATGGTTAAGTAGCAGCAGCACTAGAAAAAAAACACTATCAAGGAATAATTCTAAGACATTAGCACTGCACACATTCAGAATAACTTTACATAAAATAATTACATCCTAACAATTCTATAAGAAATGAGTAGACTCAGACTGCACCTTCTGGCCCATCTATCATTCTGCAATATTAGAACCACTTTGAAGAGAGAAAAAGTGGGAGGAGACAAGACAACGAGCCTTACCCTCTGAGCTTTTGCAAGTTCTTCTTTCAATCTTTCATAGCCCTTTTCTCTTACTTCCAGTACAGATGGGCTCCGTAAGTGAGATAAACTGTCTGTACTCAACCCAAAAATATCTTCATTTCCTTCAGCAACATCTGCTACTGTAGCACCCTGCAAAAACTCTCTCTCTGCGTTATTGCTCTCCTTTCTGGAATTATTGTGATTGAATGACCCACCCTGGGGTCCAGAGGTAGAACAAAGTACTGCGTCGGTAACATTGATGCTGTAAAGAGAGCGATATATTTTTTATTTATAGAATACATTAAGAAGAAATATTTTAGAAATGGCAGTAGTAGTGTTGAATGTGCCATTATGGTCACAATTTAATATTACAACATTGTAAGTAATATTAATATCTCTTTAGTAAAGCAAGCAGTTTATATGCAACAAACATCAGCAATTTAAATAAAAAAACACACAGAACTTACCTGACACCTGATGCTTCTCCACAATTCAGCTGTCTGGGAGATGAATAAACAGGTTGTGTGGGAAGGTCAGAAACATTTAATGCATTGGGTTGGATTGGTGTGGAAGACACAACAGAAGGATGTGGTCGGTAGATAACACTGGGTGAGGTAGTTTGTTCCCGAGTCCCTGGCTCATTTACTCCAAGAAGATCTGGTGTAGTAGGCGAAGCGAGGTTCACTTCATGAAAGCCTTCCAAGGGGTCACTGGCCATAATAAAAGCCTCATCATATGAAACCCTGAATTAAATAATCACGTTATCAGAATGCAAACAGGAAATATTTTTCTGACACCTATTTGAATTAAAAAACCACCCAGACAAGTATGTTCAGAATACTTCATGATATAATAGAAACTGTGGACTAATCCTGCAAAAGCATCAACTTCAACCACCAAAACTGTTTTTTTCACGCATCGGACTGTTGAGTCCAGAAGATCTAACAGACTCCACATCTAAATAGGATGATGAAATCAGGAATACGGTCTATATCATAAAACAAAGTCATCTTTAATATAGCCTGTATCAAAACACAAATGTATCACATTCATGAAAGATGGGGAGACCCGGGAACCAGTAAGAAAAAAAAAATTAAAACGTAAAAGCTTCCACTTTTAATCTTAACGAAGCAAATAATCTAGAGACAGAAATCAGTGAACCTTTAAATAAGTTACAGTCCATAGTTTTGGTTAAATTACACATCTGATCTTGTCACAGTTCACCGAAATGATAGAACTAGCCAATAAGACTTCTCATGAAGTATGATAATATGTATTTAATACATCACATGATTAAGTGATGATGACAATTGTGAATAAGTATCATTCCAAAAATACATTACAGGTAAAAGTGTACTATGAATTGGTAATTTAACTGACAGTATCTTTTAGTTTTGGGGTTTTTTTTAATTCCATGTTTTTCATAAGGTCAACAGAAAAGAAGTACAACATGTGAATCTTACAGGCCCCAATAGAAAGCTCCTTGTGAGCAGTTTATCAGAGATCACAAAAATCTTTGCATGATTCAAAACTATAAATTGGAGGTAGTATGGAGAAATTTGTGAATGAATTACTTAGCAGTGATTATTCACTGCAAAAAACATTTTCCATGTTATATAAATAAAGAAGAGAGAAAATTAAGGCTTCACAAAGGTACTTAACATGCAAAAAAAGAACTGTAGCATCTAAATTAAATAATACATTGCATTTTGCAGAGAAAACTGCTTGAATCTTACAACTGAAAAGACAAGGCAGAGAGAAGATCTAGAAAGACGATGGTCACAGCCATGAAGAAATGATGCCATCTACTTCCATGTACATCCAGTTCATTAGCTGCTTCATAAAACACATGGAAAACACCAGGAATCCCCAAATTAGCATATGCAGTAATGTTTTAGTTACATCAATACTATCTGGTCATCTTAAACTCAAAGAACACTGTTCAAAACTGTTCTGCGTCTCAAGTATTGTACTGTGTATACATCAGTGTTAAACAAGTTACTTTACCACATTATCAGTTACATGCGGAAGAAATTCATTTGTTCAGACAGCAAGAATATGTTATTAATTTGTCTCTGTCTCTGTTAACTGCTCCCACAAAAAAAATCAACCACCTCTCAGAAACCTCCCAGACTTAAGGGACAAAAAGGACCTTACAGGAATAAAAAGGGATGTGTTTTGGTTTTGGGTTTTTTCTGTTTTATGCAGAAATTTGTTTTATTTTGAACTATCAACAGCAGTTGCACAAACATGATTTACACAGAAAAACACTGTCACAGTTTTGTGCTTTGGAGCTTTTCTACCATAACACAGAGATGAACAGCTTATTTTTTAGTTTAAGTTTGAAAAATATTCATGTTTGTTTTCCCTATAGTTCTTCTTAACTATTATAATCATTCTAATTACATGCTCTGCATGATGATAAAGCCTGTTGAGTCAACAAATTTAAATGAAGGGACTGCCACAGCTACAGGACATTTCTTCAAGGTTACATTTCAAAAATGTTTTCAGTTCTACAGTGGAACTACTACATGTCGTTGTTTTACATTTAATAAGCAAAAATACTGCCATCTTGAAAAAACAAAATTGCAAACACAGTCCTTTAAAGTTCATCAGCCCAGATGAAAAATATCCATCTCACCAGTCTCAAAGTCAGGCTCATATCTACACGAACATATTCGCTTCCATTGTTCCCACCACTCTCCTCTTTTTTGACCACCAAGTAAGCCATACCCAATACTACTATATTGGCAACACCACCAAGATGTCTCTTCACGTTCCCGATTCTTTGGATTCCAGTCTTCACAATTAACAGAAGATGCAGGCTTCTGAAAAGGCATGTAGAAAGGCTGCCTTTTCTATACCTACAGTACCTAGGAAAGTGCACCAAAAACCACCCAACAGAAGCAAAGGTTGAGAACATAGCTGAGAGCAAAACGGGAACAACTCTTCTGCCACATCTTCCCTTCTGTTGACTAGTTTCCATTTCAAGTTCAAAAGACACGGTCATAGTTCCACTGAAAATTCACAATCTGACTTGATGTTCAACAGTGGTACCACAGTATTTCGCATCACCAGTACCACTGGTTGTTTTCAGTTGCATACCCCATTGGGCTGAAATTTTCTATGAAAGTTTTTTTTTTTTTTCCCACAAACTGATTTTTAAAAAATACTATTTAGTCATTTCCAAGGAAAAAAGGCTCAGGAAAAATTTGTCAGTTTTTACTGTATTTTACTATTTCTGTACAAGTCTTCGGGCTATCTCTTTGGAGCAAATACTTTAAGCACATCAAGTAAGCGACAGGCTCAAAGATGCACCATTCTGTATCTTTATGATAATTTACACGAATTCAGCTATGTTATGAAATGCAGAAGTTCACAGTGGCTCACACAGAGAAAAACGATTAGAAGCCTGCTTGTTATCTTCCAAGTGTTTAAATGCATTTCTAGCTCCCCCTCCGAACCATCACATCAATCTATGATAAGCAAAGTATTATGTTATTTAAAAAAAAAAAAATTAAAAAAATACCACATCTATCCTACCTACATGTTCCTAGTCCTACAGGAAATGTTCCACTTAACTCCTTTCCTACAGCTATATCATGCAGAGTTTTTAATAGCCCAAAGAAAAAAAAACAACCCCAAAAAGATCATAGAATTATATTTACAAGACTATCACTCACATTAAATGTCAATCTCAGCCTAAACAGACGAGAGATTTATGAGTAAATAAATCCATGCATGTCTTCTCAGTTATCAAAAAACAAGCTCTTTCTGATACAGTAAGTAAAAAAGTTATACAAGTTATTCCTGGAAGAACTGAAAATAAAGTCCCTCAGCTAAACTTTTCCCATAGCCTGTCAAATGGGCACTCATAAGCATACCATCTGTGTAAAACACTTTCCATTCACAACTTTTTTCTTTCGTAGAATTACTTCTCACTTAGCAGTGAGCAGGCAGAAGCTGGGTACACCACCCATACAAGACACAGAAGCCCACATTAAATATCTATTTCAAAATGCACCAACACCATCACGTTTTTACCAAGATGTCAGCTGAACACGTTAGGCATTAATGAAACCAAATGTACAGAAAGCTAGGCAGTCCTAAAAATAAAAGCTCTCTTTTGGGAAAGAACTCTTCAAAGTAATGGTAAACAAAAGAAGGGGGAAAAAACATATTAAATTTCAGTGTCATTAAAAATTACAGGCTAGGTTAAGGCTGGGAGGGGTGTTCACATTATTGACTAAGGCAGCAGTGAACAGCCTCGCTGTGAAGGAACATGAAGCGCATGGTAAGCAGAGAGCTTTACTAGGAGCCAAGCTGACAGTGTGTAAAAAACCACAGTGTTGACACAGCACTCTTTAGTAGTAATTCTGCTACTGTGAACAAAAGCTGATATTCTGACATTTCAGGGCAGCACACTTATTAAACAAAATCATGGATTTTCTTAATACTTTTTCTACCACATTAATATATGGTGAAAGCTTGGAATACCAAATACATGATTATTTTTGTCTTACTTGATAGTATGCAATTTGGATGACGTACAAAATTCAAGTACTGTAATAAATCAGGATGAAACAACAAAATAAATTAATTTCCTTATACTTTCATCTGGAAATAATGCAAATTTGGTGGAAGCTGTCAGAACGTTGCAGCTTTTTATTACCTCTCCATTGCCACACTTGCACTGCTGACTACCCAGCTATGCTGAAGCTATGCTCAAATCTGTTATTCTCTCTAATATTAAACAAAAACGTACTACAAAGAAATCAGTTTAACAACAGTCAGTTTAACACGTTTCTATAGCTTCTAACAGGAATCAGGAACTGTGAACATTTTCAACAGCAGTCAAATCAAAATGCTTAATCTAATTTTCCTGTTATTACTCTAAGAGGGGTTCAGCTACTTGTCTGAATCAAAGCAGACAATAACTAAATACTAAAAAGCTCCCTGAAAAGCAGTAATTTATTGTGGCTTGTTTTGCTTTAAAAAAAAAAAAACCAAAAAAGTATTGTTGAAAACCACCTACTACAAACTCTGGAGTTTGTCTTTCACAGATCGCTTTTAAATACAAGACAGGTTGAAGATTACAACTTTGAACAATCTCCTGATTGTTATAGCCCATTTGAAAGCAACACCAGCACCAAACATTTCATACATCAAAAATCTCATTTTTAGCTTTAATAGTAAAGAGCACCATCACAACAGATCAGTTACCTGCTCAAGTGGGGAAAAAAAAAAAAAAATCACATAAGGAAGGAGAAGTTACTGTTTCTAAACATTTTGATGAAAAGTAAATTCTAGTTAGCATTTACCAAAAAAAGGTGCCTATTAGCTATAGTGTTTTAATCTTCACGCAGCAGGCCTTTCAAAATATAAGTCCCCTCAAGGACTTCATTTATTAGACTCCAACGTCTGCTTCAGTTAATTTGGGAGGGGATAGGAAAGTGCATTTTTTGTAGCAGTTCCTCAAAAGGACTGACATTAGCCCACCACTGGGCTTGCACTCTTCTCAGGGGGTTTCAAAAAGAAGTTTTGAAATATTTGGCATTATACAGTCTGGAACGTAATATGTTTTAAGCTCTAAAGAACTCCGTAGGGAATTAGAGTAGTAGACTAATAAATACCTTTTAAAGAAGCAGTCCAATTAAGTACTGCTACTCCATACCTATACCTATCAGATGCAAGCAGGCAGTTTAAAAAGTAAAATTGTTGTAAGGCATATATGGACATT